AAAATGTTTGTCTTTTGAAAGTGTGGTTTGGTGCGTATTTGCATGTTTGAAGTGTATGTGCATGGGCGTACCAAAGTGCTTCAGTGCTCAGAATATAGCGGGCATCAGCTGTATTTGAGTGTGAGTGCTGTTTTCTTGTATGTGTGTGTGTACATGTTGTGTAAGTGCACTCAAAAGGGTGTGACCAAATGTATATCCACTGTGGATGTAGTTCATTGTAGCGAGGACATTTTGTACACATGCTTTAAAAGCAATTGCAAGAATCAGTTCAGTTCAGCATAAGAGGTGGGGTTTGGCTTTTATTTTGAAGGTTAGGAGCTGGTAAATGCACTCCGTCAATAAGGGCCCTCAGGAGTATATAAAGACAAATGTGCGTGATACCGTCTCCGAGTCAAAGAGGCAACTCCTTACATGTGTTAAGAATATACACTATATGCGACTGTGTGTGCATGCGTGTGCGCACAAGTACATATGTTTGAGTCTGCGAATAGTCAAAGTATGTGTTTTGCTAGGCAGTAGGGGATCCATAAGAGGGTCTGGGCATGCTGCCCAAACGCAGGTCATTGAGGGAAAAAGGGAGGAGGAGCTGCTGGAGGTTTTCTGGGGGGGGGGCGGCTCACGTGTGATTATGAGTCTTGCGCATGTCTACTGGTGTGACCCTGGTCTGCATGCGTGCCTGGATACATATGGTCCTGTATGTGCGTGCCTTCACAATACCTCCAAATAGCAGCGTGTGTGTGCGAGAGAAGTCAGCGAGGTTGCTTTGGAATGTGAAACCAGTGTGGTGAGGTAGCTGGCAAGCCGGCAGAAGGACCTAAACACTGACTTCATTGTGGTTTAGCCTCTGCCTTATATTATGTCGAGGGGGGGGGGATTGTGTCAGTGATTGTGGAAGAATTTGTGGCGACAGCGAGTTTAGAAGTTAAAGAGGTGTACATGTAGCTGGAAAGTTGCCGGTTTTAATCCAGCCAGTGAAAGTAAATTAAGAGCGCTCTCACTGCCAGCTATCATTAAAGAGTCATATAGCGAGACACCCAATGGAGGTTTTGCAGTTGTGTCACAAAACTACTTGCAACCCACGTCTGGCGCCACTTAGGAGTTCCACTGGAGGCAAACACCGACTAAATACATACCTACTGTCTAGAAAAACAGATACCTGCAAACATTTTCATGCCGTGGGTGTTCGGTTTCAAGCAAAAGTGTCTGCAGGATAGATTTGTTTCCAGACTATGGTTAAATGAAGTGATATTTTTATTTGCCTTTTTGTGGAGCGTTAGATGAGAAAATCAATACCACTCTCATGTCTGTGCATACAGATCGGAGCCGGAGCCAGGAGGCAATTAGCTTAGCTTGGCTGGAAGCAGGGGAAACAGTTAGGCTGGCTCTTTCCAAAAGTGAAAAGTTTGAAACTTACAGATTGACATAAGGTGTCCTGCGCTAATGTTGTTTTTTTGTTTTTATGTTGACGCGAACACATGTTAAAGTTGTGATCTACAGGCAGCATCACGGTGCAATACTTTCTTGGCGAATTTCAGCAAGGCACTGATGTCCAGAAGATGAATATGTTTGCTTACC